AAATTGAGCAGAAGACGAAGCCTATGTGTTATTTTATTGTTTTATGTCAAGCTATTTGACGGAAGTGTTATAACAAATAGTCCGCTTTTAATGTCCTATTCACAAGTCAACCACTTGCCCTACTTTTATCGAATGACGATCAGTTCGTTATAAGCGTGTTCGTTATAAACGTAGTTTACTGTAATATATTCTGTCAGTCTGTCTTCTGAAGGCAGCCATAGCAATAAGTATCCGAATTTGTACACGACAGAAACCATTGAATATACTACTAATTATTATAGAACTATATGAAAATGCATATTACACCCCTCCCAGCTCCAATTGCCAATGCAGTAAACTACGTTTATAACGAACACGCTTATAACGAACGGACGGATAAAATGAACTTATTTTTTAGTCCCGGCCATTTCATGTATATATGCTGTATATATGCTTATAACGAACTACGGTTATTACGAACTACAATTAGTGGTCCCTTTGAGTTCGTTATAACCGTAGTTTACTGTACATTCACACAGCGTTTGTTGACGCTACATGACTATTCAGCTATGTACATGAATCCTCTTCAAAAGCAAACGGCCAAAACACACGAAACATGACATCATAGACCATGGTCTCTGATTGATTACAAATACCTTTAACCCGATCTGACTATTTACCTTTTGTATTTTCCCCACGATGACCCAAGGTACCCGGATGTGTGTCGAAAAGCACCAATTGTAGGTGTATAGGATGATGTCATGCAAATTATCAGGTAACTCGACATGACCTGGCTTTGAAAGCCCCCAGTGACATAGGGGTTGGTTTTAACATAGGTTGGGGAGAGGATATGTTTTCGATTACAGTTTCCAGGGAAAGGAGTAGCCGAACAATGGAAAGTTTGTAAAAACCGAGGACATACACGTGTTTAGACAAAGTTATTTTGTAATCAAGAGTGTAAATTACCTCAAATGTGTTAGAATGTGCTTAAGTCATGGTCTTCAACAATGTGCGACCAGGTTGATAGTGTGTCACAAATAAATAGAAATGAATTATGTGAGGTGAAATGGGGTTTAACGTCGAAGATTATTGCACTTATATAGCGAAGTGCATGCACGTGTGTGTGTGGCTGCTTGTACTAGTCCGGACTGATGCCGATTTATAGTGCCAGCCCACTGAGATACCATGCCGCAGTTTAACATGAATACCCCGCTCAGACAAAGGAAACTGACTCCGAGCCGACCCGTCCTTGTTTTAGCTCCTTAATGCAGAGCGACAGACAGGGTAACAACAAGTACCATCTTTTAACGTCTTTTGGTATGACGCGGCCGGGGATCGAACCCCGGATCTTCCGCTCTCCGGGTGGACGCTCTACCACTTGACCTGCCTTTGCATGTGTTTGTGACGGGTGCCACCTGTGGGGCAGGACACGCTCACCTTTTCGCGAACACCTGGTATCATCACTATTTGTTAGTGATTCATAAACGTCATGTTCATGATATAGTGGGAAACGCACAATCGACTCACACTCTTAATTTGATTAAGGAATGAAGTTTGTCGCTTTTATTTGCGTCAGAATGTGTGTTTTTCCAAGTCTTTTTGTGACTGCATTATACAACGATTTTTAGATTAAAAGATGCCAGGGACGACCTATCTTATTTGACCTTATCATGATAAACTGCATGGGGATTGCCCAACATACACATAACATCTTACGTTTGTTGTTTTGTTAAAAAAAAATATATAGAAATAAAGTAAACAGTTTAATAATATCCTGTGAATTCAATATAAAGAAAAGAAACGTGATTAAGTACAAAACGATCAAAATATTTTTTAAATTTTATTTCTTCCTAATAATGAGTGCATGGTATAATTAATTATAGATATGGTCAGATTAAGTACCCCATGTGATAACCTATTTATCGAGACACTTGGTGACGTTTAAGACACAAATGATGCATTTGAAAACCATGACAAGCATACAGGTCCCACCCCATTTGTCAGATACCTTAAAACGACTTTTAAATCACGGATGAATTCTCCCATCATCTTGTGCTTGTTACTCCCATGGTAAAATGGATTAGTCCAGAGCATACTCCATTTGTCAGACACCTCATAAGATTTCTATTAAATAAAAAAAGAAGAAGAATTTCATAATGCTTCATTGGCTTTAATAGCCACATAAGTAATGCAACACGGTTTAATGCATTACTACATCAAGGTACCCCATTTAGCACTTTGGAACCGATTCCCTGATTTGACCCAACTTCTGTGAACACTTAAATCTCATAATCGAGTCATTCTAAAGAAAATGGCAAAATATTGTCACTGACTAAAACATGCTATTCTCTTGTTTCAACACTGTCAATAGGATGTATTAAATTATAAAAAAACACATTTTCATGTTGATTCTGCTACTCATGTTGGATATTTTTAGTTCCTTTGTTTTAAACGCTTTTCTATTTTATGTATGTTACATGTAACAATTAAAGACAAAACACTTAAAATTTGTGATGCATTCGCCTTGGTGTGCTCGTTGGTATTGAGTATATCATCAAGCTACATATCAGCAAACTTTAAATAACCAGACTGCAACTGACAACAGAACTGTATTGTGAGATTCATTCTAGCTCATTAAGATTGATGTGATAAGGACATTTGATGTTGACTTGTTATATTCTTCACATTTATTTGTTTGTAAATTAATATCATGCAAACCTTGCTGCTGAGTATTGTTTTATAAACATTAATTAACATATCAATACTATTAGAAGTAAGTTTAATACTATTTCTTTACAATAATTGATTGAAACAAAAATTATCAACTCAATTTGTGATGAAAGTATATGTCTATATTGCCACATTTACACGTCATATAGCTGGAACGGCGTTAAACAACAAACAAAGAAACAAAGAAACATTTACACAATCACCCAATCTTCTCCCATCTTCCCGAGGCAAGGGAGTTAACTGACTTTATAAGTCCAGTTTCCACCCTTGCCGAACTAGGCTGGAATTCCTGGGCTCGATCGTTGCGCCACCAGTGGCTATTACCAATTATATCCCTTCTAAGCCTCTCCTATGGACCAATCAGATTCCACCTCTCGTAGCACTTGCGTTTGCTTCACACAAAATGGTGGCGCTCAGTCAGGACGATCTGATTGATAATCAAGATCTACATTTTGATAAAACGGGTCTTACATCGCGAAATGCATCAAATCACGTGAGCACCTTGATTAAAAACATGAAAAGATGTGGAAAGTATCTGCTGACAACGAGTTGGCGGTGCACATGCTTTGCAAATACTGCAATCGATCGAAATCTGCACGACAGTTTACGAACCGGATTTTGATTTCGGTGCGAGATTTTGATTGGACTATGCATAGACTCGTTAGTCCAGACAATATGTAACTCCATAATACCCGCCTAGTTCGGCAAGGGTGGAAACTAGACTTTTATAGTCAGTTTACTCTCTTGCTTCGGGAAGATGATCTTGTCCTTGCTGTAGAGGTGATGTTGAAAGTCTTTATTTGTTTATCTTAATTATTTAGTCTATAATTAAGTCTAAAAAAGACCACAACAGGTAAATGTCATCTCTACTCCACTGTCTAACAATTGTGGTGTGACCCACATACAGGCGAATAACCTTAACCATTGCATATGCATTAATTACATACTTTAACGACCGCCTCCGTGGTCTTGTGGTAGAGCGTCCGCCCGGAGAGCGGAAGGTCCAGGGTTCGTTCCCGGGCCGCGTCATACAAAAAGACGTTAAAAGATTGTACTTGTTGTTACCCTGTCTGGCGCTCGGCATTAAGGGGCTAAAACAAGGACTGGTCGGCTCGGAGTCAGTATACTGTGTCTGAGTGGGGTATTCATGTTAAACTGCGGCATGGTATCTCAGTGAGCTAGCACTATAAATCGGCATCAGTCCGGACTAGTACAAGCAGCCACACACACACATACACGTGCATGCACGTCGCTATATAAGTGCAATAATCTTGGACGCGACGTTAAACCCAATTTCACCTCACCTCACCTACATACTTTAACTTTCATAGTTTCCCACAGACGGGGAAAGAATGGTATATGTTGATATGCGGTGTCAGATACGTCAATATTTATACGTATGAAACATGGCTAACGATTGAACTAATTGGAGAATGAATGAATGACATCTGAACAATCAGTTTTTTACAATTCGTTTTTGTATCAATATTGATACACGTACTTATCATGGAAACATATACGAATAAGTTTCTTCATGTCAGTACATTAACACCCTTGAATGATTCTTAGACATGAGCTATGTGTTCGGACTGAACACAAAGAATTCGAAGCAAATAAGTACACATGCCGATTATGATGTATTAATGCACTTATATACGTGCAGGTCTACGAAGGAAAATATATATTTCTTTATTTAATTTACCCATCGAATGTGGAATTGAGTGAGTGAGTATGGTTTTACACCGCTTTTAGTAATATTCAAGCAATATCACGGCGGGGGACACCAGAAATGGGCTTCACTCATTGTCGGGAATCGAACCCAGGCCTTCGGCGTGACGAGCGAACGCTTTACCCACTAGGCTACCCGACCGCCCCTCGAATGTGGAAGATGGAACGATGCACCCTTAACAGTTGACAGGAAATGCACTTTAAGTAATAGTTATAACAATGCTGGTGAAGTTCATTTCATATTTAAATGTAAATATTTTAATTCCATTGGAAACCTATCCAACTGTTTCAATGTAAAAATCCTATATCTCCACATGCTATGTACATATTGCCTGGAGAGTAATAAAGTTCTGTTCTGTCGTTCTGAGACTAAGGGGTAAGCAATGGTTTTGCAACCATGAGGTTAAACCCTACTTGTAACAGTAGTCTCTCGTTAAGTCTCTGCTGTATGAATGTCGTATTCAGAGTCTTCTTATCAATTTATCAACATTATATTACATTACTCTGAGGCACGCAAGCTCCTGCATGAATCAATTTCTATTTTAAGGCACAACGCTATCACCTCTGTTTTGGCCTACATTTTCCGGGGGATCCCCGCCGGTGGGGACCAAGGCACTGCGCGCGGCACGGAAGCCAGCCTTTATACTTGCAGAACAGGGCCGAAGAAGATAGCGTGTTTCTTTCTCCGCTGATGTTACGTTACAAAAATGTAAGTAGTATTTTATGAATTCATTACAAGTGCAATATCCGACGTATATTACATGAGCATCTGCGTGTTATCGAAACAGTGTGTGAAATGTGTGGGTCTCTGCGATAAAAACGTGGGGAGTGGGGAAGAAGCATGGTAACTACAAGGTTGGGGGGGATATTGGTGGTGGTGGGGGGGGGGGGGGGGGGGGGGGGAGTGTGTGAGGAGATGGGCGAGGAGATGGGCTTGTTTTACCAGTCGCTATATATATCCTGTTCGTGCTTACACCTCATCTGTGTTGATGATATTACTTTGTGTTATGGGCGGAATGGTGTAGATGCATCTTTTACCAAACAATGGGTTGCAAAACAAAGATGACTCAAATGATTTATTATGTTTGTTTGTTTGTTTGTTTGTTGTTTAACGCCGTACTCAGCAATATCCCAGCTATATGACGGCGGTCTGTATATAATCGAGTCTGGACCAGACAATCCAGTGATTGAAATCATGAGCATCGATCCACGCAATTGGGATACGATGACATGCATCAACCAAGTCAGCGAGCCTAACCACCCGATCCCGTTAGTCGCCTCTTACGACAACCATAGTCGCTTTTTACGGCAAGCATGGGTTGCTGAAGACCTATTCTACCCCAGATCTTCACGGGTCCTATGATTTATTATAGTGAAACCTCGTTAACTCGAACTCCAGTATCTCGATGTATCGTTTAAAACTATGTTACTGTAAGGTCTCTGCAGAATCCTATCTACACTATGGTCTTACTTATCTCGGTTATCGACCGCCTCCGTGGTCTAGTGGTAGAGCGTCCGCCCGGAGAGCGGAAGGTCTGGGGTTCGATCCCAAGCCGCGTCATACCAAAAGACGTTAAAAGATGGTACTTTTTGTTACCCTGTCTGGCGCTCGGCATTAAGGGGCTAAAACAAGGACTGGTCGGCTCGGAGTCAGTATACTATGTCTGAGTGGGGTATTCATGTTAAACTGCGGCATGGTATCTCAGTGAGCTGGCACTATAAATCGGCATTAGTCCGGACTAGTACAATAGCCTCACACATACATACACGTCGCTATATAAGTGCAATAATCTTGGACGCGACGTTAAACCCCATTTCACCTCCCCTTTCTCGGTAATCCGGTTGTATCTTAAACTATCGGTTGCTAGGGGGTGGAAAAGAATCTTTACTGTATTCTTTTCAGAATCCAGTCGCCGCGAATAACTGCAGGATTGTTGATGCAGTGTTAATCCTTAATCACTCACTAACTCACCATTCAGTATTTAAGTAAACACATTTTCATGTATTTGAACCAAAATACTCTTTCAAATATGAATTGAATGTATATTGTAATTTCCAGTGAGTTCAATGGAGTTTTGCTTTCGTCGTTAAATATAATACATTAATTAGATATTTAAATTTGTTTTCATTTTCTTTCAATTATTAAGCAAGTTGAAATACAAACTTAACATTGTGTGCACTTCAGACACTGAAACATTGTAACCAGGGTTTCACTGATCTATTTCTAGGAACTAACTCATCGTACCTGCAGGGTGCGTCTATAAATTGATGAAGCGATACAGTTGTTTTAATTCGTTTGAAATATAATGTCATTTTTACAAGATTTATATATATTTCCGTGAGTTTTTATTACAAATGAATTTCAAGACAAATATAGGTAATATTTTCGTTTAAAGCTATTTGATTAGAGATATCAGAAAAACGTAAATTTGTAAACATTTTCCAGACGATATTGAAGTAATTTCAGACGTGATGGGGATGCGGACAGCAATGGAAACGGTTTTTCAAAGACAATACGTATAAAAACAAATCACAGCCTCTCAACCTTCTTTCAACTTCCACATTTCAAATCGGTAATGGCAGTTGTCTTTACAAGAATCTTACATTGTCTCCTGCCATTTGGAACCATACAAATTAATTAATTACATTAAGACACTGGCAAAACTTCAAAATATGTCATAAGACTACCGTACTCTTCAGGAATATATTTATATAAGAAGAAATTTTTAATTATTAATATTTAATATTATGTTATGAATATTAGTATTGAGTAACTAAATATATTATTGATTAATTGATTAATGTCAAATTTGGTGAAATGGATTTTGTAATTTACTCGATGGATCTAGCGCCGTTTTAATCGCTGAGCGCGTCATTACCAAAATGAAGTGAGGTTATTTTTAATTTACACTATGTTCGTGACTTGTATCTAAGATGAGAGCATGACGTATCAAGCAAACGTTATTTAAGTCCCCAGTATCGTTAAATCATTACGCCCCAAGTCTCGTCCTAAAGAACCACATTCGCGTCCTGTTATCAAGGGGATCTTATTGTGTCAGACCTCTTTGTTAGTTAGCGGGTACAAAGAATGTTTTCAACGTGTTTATGCATGTGGTTGTATTATTCAAACTGTTTCCTGCCCCTTGTTGTATGTAGTTGATGTTTTCTGTTCGGGTGTCAACACGTTTGTGGCAGGAAGACGGTTGCCATGATGCCCGTTCTATGTGACAATACATACGTTGTGGCTAAGCGGTTCTGATTTGATTTCAAACGGGTTTTTTTCTGAGACGCGACTCCTCTTTAGTTTCCGATAAGGATTAGCGTTTGTATAATTTTTGTATTTTTTTTAATCAAACTTACGTCTTAAATTTCGTGAACTGAAATAATGCCGATGCGACGTTAAATTTGAACTCATTCACTTAAATTTCTTGAACGTTTTTCCATTTTAGGCACCTTCCATTGACCAAATCGTAATACTATGCATTGCACTGAAACATCGCCATTGAGTCATATTTATATAATAGTTCGTAATATATCCATGGTTATAATGCGGTGTTACACCCCATAACATTTATTAATATAGTCATGATTTGTTCAGTCTTAGCAGTATAACGTCACATTGGCTGTGTGTTGTGCTACCTCAAAAACAGTTGCTAAGCCAGCAAGAGTTAATTCCCTTTGTTAGTGCGCGTTTGTTATCGCGTTTGTTATGCCCATACCACATTAATTTTATAAATAAACATTAACGTTCTAACAAATTAAAAAGTTTTACTTCTGCTACGACTGAATGTCACGATGTACCTATTCTCTGATTACAAGGCCATGTGCGCAGGTATGAGTTGACTGAAGCGCCGTAAAATCTACCCTAGCTTGATCTTTTTTTTCTGTCAATATTCAAACGATCCAAGGAACAATGATTGATTTCGGGGTACATTGATTTTGTATAATCGCATGATGAAGATCTGAGTTGGATTCCCTTCATGAGAACAATGTGTGAAGCCCATTTCTGGTGTCCCCCGCCGTGATATTGCTGAAATATCGCTAAAAACGCGCCAATGGTACTCCATACTGACCTCTACATCTGCACACTGACATCTTGCGTTCTCTTTTCCAGGTATTTCCAAACCCGTATCCTCGACTCTACAGCGACAGTGTTCGTACTGATGGCGCTGTTCATCCTTGGTCTCCAGGTAACGCAGCCTCCGTCCTGCAAGTGTCCGCGGGGATTCACTTACGCTCAGTGTAACTACACCAACATGGTTTGTTTGACGCAGGCATTTTTCGTAAACCAAGAAGCCATCGTTCCCAACTCTGAGCGACCCGCGACTGAGCCGTCGGATGACGTTACCGTTCACGATGACGTTGTACAAGCTGACGTCGACGCGTTGAAGAGGGAGATGACGTACAATGATGGTTTTGTGTCCGAGATGTCCAAGTCAAAATCTCAAGGTTTCAAACATGCTTCTATCACCAAGCAACAGAAGTTTCGCGTTGAAGTCGTGACAAGCAGTAAAGGACTTTATTCCAATTCTATAAATGAATACGATATTTTGAGGTCAAAACTCATTTTGTATAACGCGTACGCTGTCATCTTGATAACTATTGCGATACTCTTGTCTCTACCTAAACTTGTCTGGATATGTACATCCGTTGAGAAAGATCTTACGTGTATGTTGAATACTTTCACATACGCCGGAACAAAAGATGGCATAGGATCACGACAAAGATGCGTTGAACAGTTAGTTGGAGATATGAAATTCTTCCTAAGATCTTGTCAAGGCAGTTTCTACAAGAACATTCTGTGGATGCACGTTCTCAGACCTCTGATTCCATTCCTAGTTCCGGTGGCCATGACCTTCATACCTGGGGTCAATGCCCAAGAAACCTTCACCTTGAACCCCATGACGTTAATGTCAAATCTGCACAACCAAAGCGTGACTGTGTTTCCCTCAAATGCCTTCTGTCAGTTTCAAGTCATAAGCAGGTCTACCCCAAAGTGGGTGTCTACAACTTGTCTTCTGCCTGTTAGCGAATTGCTTCAGATTCTGACGCCAGTACTTATTGTTTGGCTGGCGGCTGTGTCCATATTTGGTTTGTACAAATACTACTCGTTTAGCAATCTCATGTCGTTAGCCAATCAGAAATCGTTTTATGGAAGGCATGGTCTGAGAATGGACAAGGAAGATCCAACATCCTTACAGAGCGTGTTCGGCAATGACGGCTTCTTACTGTTCACAATTGTCTCGGAACTCGATAAAGGCCAAATTTTACCTCAAGTAATGAACGATCTGAAAGCATGCATGGATAATCTAATAGAAAGATAACAGATATGTCCACATATCGGTGTCACCTGCAGCAAATGTCTTCCTTGCCGGGACAAACAAGCGTCCCATGATGTCATTCCACACTCTTTGGATCACATTCGTGACAAACTCGTGTTATTCCTTGACAAGCCGAAAAGCGACTCGTGTCCCTCTCGTGGCCATTTTTGCGACTGGGTTCCGTCTAAGCGCAAACGGGGATTGCTAAAACAATTGTTCTGATTCACGTATATTTCCCCCATATGTCATATGTATTCCAGATGCTATTTAAAACACATCGCGACTAACGGTATTTTACAGTCTGATTTAAGAAATTTAACTGTGTCTTCGGTATCTTGGCAAGACATATGTAAAATCAAATTATATTTCTGAGGGGTTCTTGGCCCGAAGTACTTGAAGTCATACGCGCATTCTGATTGGTTTGTCGTATTTCATCGACAGGGGCACGAGTCTTCTTGCAGGTTACGGAAAGGTGCGAGTGGTGACGAATGTTTGGATCACTGATTTTGGGATGGGGTGTTTAGCAAGGATGCATTTTCACTGACGTTTAATTCATGTCGAGATCTATCATTGATTAAAGTGGAAAAGTCCAACTTCGACAAAACCTGTGTGTCGAGATACGACAAAAAATGTGTCGAGATATAACTTGACAATCATTGTATCATTGTTCTATATTAGTCATTGTTTCAATGAATGAACTTGGAATGATATTGTTTAATATTGCTGCGGTGGTTGTGTATTTTCTCTTTCATTTGTGGTAGGTTTGTGTATCGACTATGAAATTACTTTGAACATACGTTCAACACTGGGGGCGGTCGGGTAGCCTAGTGGTTAAAGCGTTCGCTCGTCACGCCGAAGACCCGGGTTCGATTCCCGACATGGGTACAATGTGTGAAGCCCATTTCTGGTGTCCCCCCGCCGTGATATTGCTGGAATATTGCTAAAAGCGGCGTAAAACCATACCCACTCACTCACTTCAACACTGACTCGCGCTGATAACATTCGTGATGTGACATTGTATATATATTTCATGACACAGTAACGAGAGACTTCTTTGCCATCCGAGAGCTATTACATGTCACGCGGTGCATAATCATCCTTATTTTGACGATTTATTAAGTATCCGTGAACGCTAGTTGTGTGACGTGAATATCCCGACAATCTTCCCACACGAAATCTGTAACATGCGGAAATAGCTCGATCGTGGTAATTGTCATTTTGGGGGAGAACTGGTTCAGCTTAGTGGTAAAAGCGTTCGCGCGTCACGCCGAAGGCCCGAGTTCGCTTTCCCAAGTGCACAATGTATTCAGAAATATATTCAGATGAATATAAGCCCATTTCTGGTGTTCCCCGCCGTGATATGGATAGGATGTTGTTAAAGGCGGCGTGGAATCATACTCACTCACTCATTCTGTTTGGCTAGCTCGTCTCTTACTTGCTGTTCACATCATACCCAAACCTAACTGTGAGGCTTACTGCACCCGAACCCACCCCCACCTCCCCTCTTAAGGGTTGTGAATTTAGCTGGAAGTTGTATGTCATAACGGTATTGCATCATTCAGGTTCAACGATACACGGTTTTCTTTACAAATTTTGTGATGTGTCTTTCATAAATTAAATGATGTTTATATTAGAATTTAAGTGCTTTCCCGTGAAGACTGTTGCTTACGTTCTAATTTATGATCGGTGATTAAAGATAATTTCTGTATTTATGATAATTAAAAGTATTTTGTATCTATTATGTACAGGGGCGGTCGGGTAGCCTAGTGGTTAAAGAGTTCGCGCGTCACGCCGAAGGCCCGAGTTCGCTTTCCCAAGTGCACAATGTTATGAGCCCATTTCTAGTGTTCCCCGCCGTGATATGGATAGGATGTTGTTAAAGGTGGCGTGGAATCATACTCACTCACTCATTCTGTTTGGCTAGCTCGTCTCTTACTTGCTGTTCACATCGTACCCAAACCTAACTGTGAGGCTTACTGCACCCGAACCCACCCACCCCCGCCCCCACCTCCCCTCTTAAGGGTTGTGAATTTAGCTGGAAGTTGTATGTCATAACGTTACATCTTCCCGAGGCAAGAGAGTTAACTGCCTTTAAAAGTCCAGTTAACAACCTTGGTGGAAACTGGACTTTTAAAGTCAGTTAGCTCTTTTACCTCGGGAAGGTGTGACGTTATTGCATCAGTCAGTTTCAACGATGCACGGTTTTCTTTACAAATTTTGTGATGTGTCTTTCATAAATTAAATGATGTTTATATTAGAATTTAAGTGCTGTCCCGTGAAGACTGTTGCTTACGTTCTAATTTATGATCGGTGATTAAAGATAATTTCTGTATTTATGATAATTAAAAGTATTTTGTATCTATTATGTACAGGGGCGGTCGGGTAGCCTAGTGGTTAAAGCGTTCAAGGATGTTGTTTAAGGTGGCGTGGAATCATACTCACTCACTCATTCTGTTTGGCTAGCTCGTCTCTTACTTGCTGTTCACATCATACTCAAACCTAACTGTGAAGCTTACTGCACCCCCGCCCCCACCTCCCCTCTCAAGGGTTGTGAATTTAGCTGGAAGTTGTATGTCATAACGTTACATCTTCCCGAGGCAAGAGAGTTAACAACCTTGGTGGAAACGGGACTTTTAAAGTCAGTTAGCTCTCTTGCCTCGGGAAGGTGTGACGTTATTGCATCAGTCAGTTTCAACGATACACGGTTTTCTTTACAAATTTTGTGATGTGTCTTTCATAAATTAAATTATGTTTATATTAGAATTTAAGTGCTTTCCCGTGAAGACCGTTGCTTACGTTTTAATTTATGATCGGTGATTTCTGTATTTCTGATAATCAAAAGTATACATTTTGTATCTATTATGTACATGTACACTTGTGTGTATTTTCCATAGATGTTTTTTTTGCACATTATTATCGCGGCTGTTGAAATAAAGACATTCGTAAACCATATTTCTTGTAATAATATGCATAGCATCATAGAATAACGGGTGTAGCCGTAATAGATAGCATCAGCGAGAGGGTGGGATCTACATCCGCCATGATCAGTTGTCCAGTGATATCACCACGTGTCACTGACGCAGGTCGTAGACGTTTATATTTTTGGTGAATCTCACATGAAGGAGCAAGGGTGTAGTGCTGACAGGTCAAAGGTTATAGAGGGAGTGAATTTGATTCTCGAACCTGTGCTAACCCAAGTAGTAGTAGAAGAAGTAGTAGTAGTAGTAGAAGAAGAAGAAGTAGTAGTAGTAGTAGTAGTTGTAGTAGAAGTAGTAGTAGTAGCAGTAGGAGGAGTAGTAGTAGAAGAAGAAGTAGCAGCAGTTGTAGTAGTAGAGGTAGTAGTAGTTGTAGTAGAAGTAGTAGTAGTAGCAGTAGGAGGAGTAGTAGTAGAAGTAGTAGTAGTAGTAGTAGTAGAAGTAGTAGTAGAAGTAGTAGTAGTGCAGCAACAGCAGTAGTAGTATAGCAGCAGCAGCAGTAGTAGTAGTAGTGGAAGAAGTAGTAGTAGTGGTAGTAGTATAGCAGCAGCAGCAGTAGTTGTAGTAGAAGTATTAGTATTAGTAGTATAGTAGTAGTAGCAGTAGAAGTAGTAGAAGTAGTAGTAATAGTAGTAGTGCAGGAACAGCAGTAGTAGTATAGCAGCAGCAGTAGTAGTAGTAGTAGTAGTAGTAGTGGAAGAAGTAGTAGTAGTAGTGGTAGTAGTAGTGTCATTGACGGAAATTCATCACAGGTACAGATGCAGCTACCAACTATAGATGGTACTTTTCACAGCGATGGAATGGTGGTAACGACAGGGCTGGCAGCATGAACAATAACACATGTAGAGCTAACAAGATTCTGTTCATTACGGTTATTGCTTGAGGCTCACAAAAGTTAGTTGTCGGACCCAAAGAAAACGATACCGGTTGCAATTTTTGGACGATATCTATGTATTGATTGAACCTGGCACAGGTACACCAATAGTGGTTAGCATAGTGAAGGAATTCCTATTGCAGGGATTTAATGAATACACCACATTGTGAGTGGGTACAAATGACGATGTAGCGCTTTTCAGCCAAAGTAATTCTACATCGTAAGGTACTACTGGTAGGCCAGGATAAGTTGAGTTGTGACCTGACAATCAACCCGATATGACTTTGTATGAGGTCCGCCCACTGGCGTGTACCATTGTGAAGAAAGGGGTAGCGGGTGGTCCGCGCCAAGTAGTACGATGGATATGTGCGTGTCCTGCCTCGGCTAACAACGAGTTCTCGTGGCAAGATCAATATTATAGTACGTGCTGATGTGAGGTACCCGATGACGGTGAAATGGTGACAGCAAATTTGCATGGATGGGTCATGAATATCATTTGCTGTAAAAAAAACTGAATACGTTTTTGTAATCCAGAGAGCAATCATGAATAGTGTCATGTCAATCATTAATGAATGTGAAGGTTGAGACCTAAAAGTAGTCATAGTTGACTCGATGACAGGCTCCTAAGTAACACTAGTCTTCACATTCTGATGCGTTTGAGCGTAGATACAGACGGACCAGTGACAATGCCACCTTTTGAGAATGCTTGAGATCGATTTGCACATTCTTTCTCCATGTAATTTATGACATTATAGGCCAATTCTCGAGCCTGTGTGATTTGGCCATGCAAACCCAGCTTTGGCATGTGTATTTGTTGTAATTAACTTCTATCAAATGACTTTTAGAGAATTCTTGTATCTACCTCTTAATAGTCTTAAAGGAACACGGAAACGTAGTCAATTTCATCGCCATGACCTGCAATCTACAACAAGCGTACACCCTCCATGTCTGAAACAAACCAAATATGTTTGCCCAAATTCTGTGCCCAGCCTACTTGTCTCAAGCGCGTATTGTGAGTTGGTTTAACTTACCAGTTTGCTATATTTCGGCAATACTAGGTACAACCCACACGAATAGGTACATATAACATCTTCTGCTCGTTTACATGCTTGATACAAATACATACAAGTTATTGTTTTAAGAATATCAACTTATATTCTTTTTGAAGAAATATTTAAATGGATTTTAGGGTTATATATTCACTATTATGGTAAAGTTAAGATAGCCTTCCCTTACATTCACATTCTGAATTCCGTTTACATTATTATCAAGCAAATTGTGTTCAGGATTTATATGTGATTTCACATTACCGTGAGGTAACAATCGGATTCGTAATTTGAGATACAGAAGTGCATCACATGATATTTTTATCCTTTGTGCATCAGATTATTAATAATAAACGAAATGTATATTCTACTTGTTGATATAACAATACCAATCCATATCAGTCTCATCCCTTACTTTTGCAACCAAACTATTGCTGTATGTGTCAGTATGCATGAAAGTGATATGTCGTGTGTTTTAGACATTATTGTTATTTGTAAGAATTATTTTCAGATTAACACATACTTACTACAACCAGAAATAGCAGCAGTATACTTAGTATCGAATGGTGTTTCATACAACGTCGCCAATGTCTTGGGGTTTACGGTATGTGTTTTATATATTTTCAATACAGTGCACACAAATATATTCTAGAATACATGCATAAAATAATAAAAATCTGCACTATGATTCAGACATGTATTGTTGACGTAGGCGCGCTGTAATTGTTAATGCGCCTGATGATGATGATGATGGTAATGATGTTAATGGTGGTGGTGGTGGTCGTACGTATAGCAACTTGTGCAGTGGTAAACAAGGAAAGGTCAACATACAATCTTTCCTTCGCGTCAAAATATTTTCAACATAAGTTTCTCAGGACTGATATTGGCCTTACCAGAACTTGAAATTCGTTTTCTTCATGCTAAATTCACGTATCATTACTAAGCCACTATATTACCACAGCATTCTTAATATTCATACCATACGTTATTACAACAGCATACCTTATATCTATCTTGTACTTTATTACCACAGCGTACTTCATATCTATACTATACGTTATTACAACAGCATACTTCATATCTATATCATACTGTATTACTATAACATACTTCATATCTATATCATACTGTATTACTACAACATACTTCATATCTATATCATACTGTATTACTATAACATACTTCATATCTATATCATACTGTATTACTATGACATGCTTCATATCTATATCATACTGTATTACTATAACATACTTCATATCTATATCATACTGTATTACTATAACATACTTCATATCTATATCATACTGTATTACTATAACATGCTTCATATCTATATCATACTGTATTACTATAACATACTTCATATCTATATCATACTGTATTACTATAACATACTTCATATCTATATCATACTGTATTACTATAACATACTTCATTATATATATCATACTGTATTACTATAACATGCTTCATATCTATATCATACTGTATTACTATAACATACTTCATATCTATATCATACTGTATTACTATAACATACTTCATATCTATATCATACTGTATTACTATAACATACTTCATATCTATATCATACTGTATTACTATAACATACTTCATATCTATATCATACTGTATTACTATAACATACTTCATATCTATATCATACTGTATGACTACAACATACTTCATATCTATATCATACTGTATTACTATAACATACTTCATATATATCATACTGTGTTACTATAACATACTTCATATCTATATCATACTGTATTACTATAACATACTTCATATCTATATCATACTGTATTACTATAACATACTTCATATCTATATAATACTGTATTACTATAACATACTTCATATCTATATAATACTGTATTACTATAACATACTTCATATCTATATCATACTGTATTACTATAACATACTTCATATCTATATCATACTGTATTACTATAACATACTTCATATCTATATCATACTGTATTACTATTACATACTTCATATCTATATCATAATGTATTACTATAACATACTTCATATCTATATCATACTGTATTACTATAACATACTTCATATCTATATCATACTGTATTACTATAACATACTTCATATCTATATCATACTGTATTACTATAACATACTTCACATCTATATCATACTGTATTACTATAACATACTTCATATCTATATCATACTGTATTACTATAACATACTTCATATCTATATCATACTGTATTACTATAACATACTTCATATATATATATAATACTGTATTACTATAACATACTTCATATCTATATCATACTGTATTACTATAACATACTTCATATCTATATCATACTGTATTACTATAACATACTTCATATCTATATCATACTGTTTTACTATAACATACTTCATATCTATATCATACTGTATTACTATAACATACTTCATATCTATATCATACTGTATGACTACAACATACTTCATATCTGTATCATACTGTATGACTACAACATACTTCATATATATATAATACTGTATTACTATAACATACTTCATATCTATATCATACTGTATTACTATAACATACTTCATATCTATATCATACTGTATTACTATAACATACTTCATATCTATATCATACTGTATTACTATAACATACTTCATATCTATATCATACTGTATTACTATAACATACTTCATATCTATATCATATTGTATGACTACAACATACTTCATATCTGTATCATACTGTATGACTACAACATACTTCATATATATATAATACTGTATTACTATAACATACTTCATATCTATATCATACTGTATTACTATAACATACTTCATATCTATATCATACTGTATTACTACAACATACTTCATATATATATAATACTGTATTACTATAACATACTTCATATCTATATCATACTGTATTACTATAACATACTTCATATCTATATCATACTGTATTACTACAACATACTTCATATCTATATCATACTGTATGACTACAACATACTTCATATCTATATCATACTGTATGACTGCAATATACTTCATATCTATATCATACTGTATTACTATAACATACTTCATATCTATATCATACTGTATTACTATAACATACTTCTTATCTATATCATACTATATTACTACAACATACTTTATATCTGTATCATACTGTATGACTACAACATACTTCATATCTATACCATACTGTATGACTATAACATACTTCATTATATATATCATACTGTATTACTATAACATACTTCATATCTATATCATACTATATTACTACAACATACTTCATATCTGTATCATACTGTATGACTACAACATACTTCATATCTATACCATACTGTATGACTACAACATACTTCATATCTATACCATACTGTATGACTATAACATACTTCATTATATATATCATACTGTATTACTATAACATACTTCATATCTATATCATACTGTATTACTACAACATACTTCATATCTATATCATACTGTATGACTACAACATACTTCATATCTATATCATACTGTATGACTACAATATACTTCATATCTATATCATATTGTATGACTACAACATACTTCATATCTATATCAAACTTTATTACCACTCGTAATTGTATATCGATGATTTTGTGGTTGGGTGGTTGAATAAGTTGTTGAGTGGTTGAATAAGTAGTTGAGTGGTTGAGTGAGTGACTTTTAGTTATTCGTTCATTAATTTACTAATTTATTCAACAATGTTTTATCTCATTGTTTTGTTTTCTCTGGAGTTGTTACCGTTATTTATCTAATCTCATTTGATTTAACGAAACCATCGTCACAAAGATTGCCCCCTGAATGAATAATACAATGGATGGATGTCCCAGTAATTAAACGAACATATCGGGGAGTAATTATATACATCTATTAGAACATAACATCTCGTGTTTCCTATGACTCAAGGATATGAGTGAGTGAGTATGATTTTACGCCGCTTCCACAGCAATATTCCAGCAATATCACGGCGGGGGACACCAGAAATGGGCTTCACACATTGTACCCATGTCGGGAATCGAACCCGGGTCTTCGGCGTGACGAGCGAACGCTTTAACCACTAGGCTACCCGACCGCCCCCCTCAAGGATATGAAGGTTAGTTTCCTATGGCATTCATTTCCACTAAATTTCATCTGAATAATATAATCAGTTGTGTATTACTCAGAAGCCCGGTGTCCATGGGACTTCCAGCGATAAATCCATAGTTCGAGACAAACGAAGTACCACTATTAGTGTCTGTGAGGTAGGACTAAAAGGTAGACAGTCTGAAGCGTTAATATGTATATACTACTCAAAAGAAGTTAAGGATCGCCCGATTATGTTATACTACCAAAGTAAATCTGTCATGGCATGACGGGATAATGATTGAATAAAGTTATATGAAATAATCGGGTGGTCCTAAACTTGTTTTGAGTAGTATATGTCGAGGGTGTGTAACTTATAAAGATTACATTATATCAAAGGAATAAATTTTAATTAAACCTGATTTAGGACAAGGGCCATATTTTACATTTGTTGGAAATGCACAAGGCCTTCACATTCTGTTGTTATCAGTTGTCCAAAAAATTTGTTGTGTTGGGAATTTTTTTTAAAGTTTTCAAAAGGCTGACAACCGGTTTCCGCGCGAAAATGAGAAATTTCACTGGCTGCGATTTGCGCAATAAGTGCAACAATATGTGTTCTGTTAGATGTGGTGATTCAAGAGAATGACACATCCACATGTAGCAGACGACAAGCCTCACGCGCCCATGTGACGTCACAGGAACCCCAGACGACATTTCTTCCCGTTTCGGTAAACACTTGACAGAGCGCAAAGTTGGATACCAAAGTCACTGAACACCGGCAATGTAAGTACTTACTTTAAAGCAGTCCTAATCTCAATACATATATTAACAAACAGTTATTAAACAGTTTCACATGAACTCGACATGAACTGTCCCGTTTCCGTAGATGGAGAAAGGCCGCATAAGGCAAATGACTGTTGACCTAAATCTGAGCATCTCGACTCCACGCGAGGACAAACTTGTAAACATACTATGAGCATTATGACTCTGTGATTCCGATTCCGATTCTGATTCTGATTCTGATTCTGTGGTTTGGACCTTAGTGGTATTATATGCAACTATAACTGGAAGTGGTTGATTGAGAATATGTCTCGGATGTTAATATATCTCTGTCGTGGCTATGACGGCCCTTCCTCTTTGTAGACTGTAAAACTACAATCGGGTTCATCTGCAGCGATTTAGTCCTGACTATGACAGTGGAATATCTGTATTTTATGAAAACAAAACCAATCTAGATTTATATAAAAGCAGGTCTAGCCAGCTCTAGCCAGCTCTAATCAGCATCAGGAAAATTATTTGTTTTAATTTTAGAGGAAAGAAATGCATTGCGTAATATAATATTTCATAGACTATTTGTTGGTTTGTGACGGGCAAGTGAAATGCGACTTGTAAACGCATTAAACTTCTTTCGTTCAAAAAGCTTCAGTTGTTCTGACCAGTTGATATCTTTATAAAAGTTATCTTGTAAGATGATTTATATTTGTCTTAAAACTACACGAGAATTAAAGTGTTGTATGACAGATAGACTCAGATGAGTAAGTACATATACGTAGACCCGTGAAGATCCGGGTTAGAACAGGTCTTCAGCAACCCATTCTTGTCGAAGAATATGCTTGTCGTAAGAGGCGACTGACTAACGCGATCAGGCGGTCAGCCTCGCTGACTTGGTTGTTGCATGTCATCGTATTCGTCGATGCTCATGATGTTAATCACTGGATTGTCTGGTCCAGACTCGATTATTTACAGACTGCCGTCATATAGCTGGAATATTGCTGAGTGCGGCGTTAAACAACAAACAAACATATAAATACTTTAGCTTTAGCTTAGTATTATATATATAATGTTTATCTTGTATGTATTTATAATTTTCAATATTCGAAAGGAAACTCCTGTGGGGATTCTGGGGTTCTAAATAATTCTCAAGTATCCTATGATGTTTGACGTTTGTTGTTTAACGCCGCATTCAATAATCCAGCTATGTGAAAGCAGGCTGTAAATAATCGAGTCGAGACGAAACAATCCAGTGATTGACATCATGAGCATCGATCTACGCAGTTGGGATGCGATGACATGCATCAACAAAGTCATCGAGCCTGACCACCCGATCCCTCGAGACGCCTCTCACGACAAGCATGGATTGGTGAAGACCAACACCGGTTCTTCATCCGATCAGTTGCCTATGATTGTCGTGCAGTACGTACGTTCGGACTAACTTGAGAATTTATGTGACCCCGGCGACATTCACACTCTCATACACCAATTCACTACCGTACTCTACAAAGTCTCCATAGTCGTGCCATGGAGAAACGTATTCCTCCTCGCAGAATGATATTACTAAAGAGCAGAAGTCAGTGGTCTTATATAGTTTTCCAAAACCTTTGTCTTTCACTAGTTGGTCGAACTGTACATTCCCACGCTATAGCGCCACCGTGTCCCCACACGATGTCCCAGGATAGAAACCTTACACCCTGTGTTAGATTAGAATCCCCCTCCCCCCTTCCGGAATGCCAAGGAGGTTCCAGGCAAGCATAAACATCCTCCTCCTCCCCCCCCCCCCCCCCCCCCCCTTTCTCTCCTCCCCTCTCCGTCAACTTTGTTGGATACTGAATACTTGCTTACTGCCAATTGCGCATGTGTTTGCTTCCACCAATCAGATCACAGTATATCACAGTAACACTGTACATCTATCAGCCTGTTCTATCTGATTTTATGCAAAAGACACTTCAGTCCCCAGGGTTACCATATTATTTTAAACACATGTCCACAGAATTGAAAGTTGAACCATTTGAAGAATTTGACCTTCAAACGCATTCGTTGGGAAATTGGAACACAGTGATCCAAAGTACAAAATACAGTGATTATTTGTGTGTGAGAGAGGGCGAGTTTGAACTGGCATAATGGCCATGATGGATCCTGTACCCAACTTTGACCTTTAGGTGTATTTCATAGTTCACTGTCATTAACATTGTGATCTGGCCTCAGATATAAGGTAGACATTCTCGCCTGGCGGATAGTGTAACATCTGATATTTTATTTAGTAACGGATTTTTGTTGTTGAATATGAATTTCGAAAGGGGTGAGAAACTCATGAATTAGACAAACATCTAGACTCTGATATGAAAGTTAACTATTTTGCAGATACAAACATGATCTAAATAATTTATATAAAAAAGAAGCCCAGATATTATTATATTTGTTTCAGAGTTTGTTCAAAAGACTGCACATGCATACATAAGAGTATCACTTGACATCGTGTGTATTGATAACTACTTGAATAACTCAGTAACTACGTGACATTGTCCGTAAGTCCAATTAGCAAAGGCTTATCGAAGGTAATTTTATAACCTTCCCTTTCGATTGTCCTAGCGCGAAATATGAATTTGTGGATGATGACCATTGCAGAAATATTTCAGGTTGAACATACATTGTATGTGCCGGTTCAGTGTTCCAATTGAGGTCTACTCGTACAAGCCGTTTCTTGTAACTATTACCAGCGGGAGTTTTCGAGTAACGAAGAAGTTACTTTTGTCGTCCACATGCAGTAAACCTCGGGGAAAACAAAGTCCAAGGCAACAGCGCCAAGTTAGTTCGTTATATCCGATGTTCGTAAATAACGTGGCCATTTACATTAATGACCACTCCCTGGGAGTAGAATTTGTATCGCTTTAGACGATTATTCGTTATATCAGGATACGTTCATACTCGATACAACCGTTTATATTTGCTGTAAAATATACCATGTAACGTTTGTTTGTTTGTTGTTTAACGCCGCATTCAGCAATATTCCAGCTATATGACGGCGGTCTGTAAATTATCGAGTCTGGACCAGACAATCCAGTTGTTGACACCATGAGCATCGATCCACGCAGTTGGGATACGATGCCATGCATCAACCAAGTCAGCGAGCCTGACTACCCGATCCCGTTAGTCGCCTCTTACGACAAGCATAGTCGCCTTTTACAGCAAGCATCAGTTGCTAAAGACCTCTTCTACCCCGGATCTTAACGGTCCTTAATGGAACTGACCCAAGAGATGCGTGTATGTACTCGCGGAGTTAAACATTATTTTCTTAAAATTAAATAAAACAAAATCCGTCAAATAAAACCTCCCACTTCTATTAAAGAATATAACTTAATCAGTATATAGCGAAGAAAAATGCAGCAAAACCATTTCCATAATCATAATACATCTCCGCATACATCAGAGTCCATTTCACGATTCTGACGATGCAGTAAGCATGTCGTGTCACAGGATTGTCTAGTCACAGAGCTCCAGACAACTTTTTGAGCGATTGGGTTTCTATTTTAATTGGGTTATTACCTTTTTCATTAGGTAACCAATATCTGTTCACTCATCTATACATAACTCTATTGGTTTTTTTCCCAAAAGAGTGGACATTTTAAGATAAAAAAAATGAAATAATGTTTTAAATGTTTCTAACCATGATAACTGTTCTATATATAGGCTAGACTCGGAAAGTAAATTAGCTCGTAAGTTGTGCTTCGGAGATTAACCCCTTTGAACTCATGCTGAAAAATCTTCATTGGGTATTTACGCGTGATGTTTTTATACATTTGAGTTTTTCACTTAATGTTATTGGGGTTTTTTTTTGGTGGGGGGGGGGTGGTTTTTGGTGTTTGTTTGTTTGTTTTTGTTTTTTTGTTGGGGGGGGGGGGGGGTTAACGCAAATGGGCTGCTTATCTGTAGCTCAGCGGTCAAGACTCGACCGTCGCCGAATGACAGGAGTACGGTTGTGATACGCCAGGCAAACATAAAACGACAACACCACGAGACAACCATCCTCGTTTATCCGCAGACACAGATTCCATTGGGCGTGAAAGGCAAAATAGCGGTGAACATGGTGTGGATGGATCACTGAAAGTCAGTGATGACACCAGGTGTTAGCAAAAAGGGTATGCTGTCCTGCTCCACCGGTAGCACCCGTCACTCACGCAAATTGCATGAAACAATACTTGTTTGTTGCCTGACACGACCTAGCACTACTCCTGCCATGCGACAGCGCTCTGTAAACAAACCAGACAATAAATCAAGTGAAGGGCCAGAAAATCCTGGTGGCCTCAATGCGTATTTTCTGATTTTGTTTAAAAAACGCCATTTATTTGTTTATACAATTACTGTGTGTGGCGGTAGCTACCGGTAGAGCAGACCATTCTTACCATTTGGGCTAACACCTCGTGTCATCACTGATTTTCAGTAATACATTCATGTATATATATAGATACATTTCACCGCCACTTCGTCTTTTAGGAGGGCACGGGTGGCCCAGTCGTCTAAGGCGCCGCGATTCGCTGTGCAGAGTTGCGTCCCTTGGGCACGCCAGAAACCTATGATTGGGGGTTCGAATCCCAGTTCGCCCCGATTATTTTTTCTAGGTTTTGTGCTCGTGGGCTTCATCGAAGTGGTAAACGTCTGAGACCTGCATCACTTCGGGATTTCCTCCCACAATAAGCTGACACGCCGCGATAAAACTGTAATACTGTTAAAAGCGGCGTTAAACCCAACTCACTCACTCGTCTTTTAGGGCTAAGGATTCAATTTAGGCAGATAATCAAGACTGATTATTCTCTGGCATTGCCGTATTTCATTTTTATTAAGAACTATGTCAAATAGCGATGTTCACAGGTGTTCACGAACATGATGGTAGTTAAAATCTATACCCTGCAATTTTTTTTATAGTTTACTATACTTATCAGGAATAAATGTCATGAATAAATGTCATGAAGACCCGTGAAGATCCTGGGTGGAAAAGGTCTTCAGCAACC